GAAAAGATTGGACAAAGGGGGATGGGAGGAAGTTGCTGAAGGAACGACAGGGTTTGGGTTTTCAGGGAGAGGGTAGCAGACATCTCCCCTCTGCCCCTTGCAAGTAGTGGAACCTGTTGGTCTCTGTTCTTCTCTTTGCCCTTCATATGCACTGGGCTGGGGTTGGAGGAGCTTATCGTTCTCTGCCTTTTGGTCATGTGTGCAGCTTTTCAGGGGTTTGGGCCTCTTAGGGTGTGTGAGGGCCTCTTTCTTCTGTTTCCCAGTCTGAGTGGGAACTGGAGGGCCTCGGTCGTTCCTCACAGAAGATCTGAACTTCTGGATCTTTTGGGGCCATGCTGTTGTGAACCCTTTTGCTGTCCCCTGCACATGTCCCAGTCCCTTCCAGCATGTCCTGAACTTCTTGTTGGCCCCTGGAGAGATCTTGACAGTACTCCAGATTTAAACATCTGAAAAATGGGAAGGCACAAGCTGTCCCTTTGTACTGAGGGAAATCTGGCCGAGCTACCAGCAAAGAGGCCAGCACTGAGGGAAGCTGGATGGCTGGCTCCCGAGTGGGGCTGGGGGTGCAGCGCCAAAGGGAGATGAGCTGAGAGAAGTCATCACAAAGGGGGTATGGGGTTGGAGCTGAGCCTGATCTGAGGGGCAGTTTGGCCTGCAAAACTAAGGACGTTTACAGCCTTCTTTTGAGCCACTGCCTGTGGGGAATATGTCCAGCTGCAGCACTGAAAACCTCTGTGGGATCCCATAAGGTACAACATGTGCTTTCCTTTGATTACATGCATGAGGTTGTGGAGAGGCACCTGTGTCTGTCCCTTGTTGTTTCCCTCTGCTTTCCCTGCCTTTTATTACAGCTTGGCCTCCAGTGACCCTGGCTGTGGTCCATCCTTGTGGACCACTTAGAACAAATGCAGGAGGAAAGATTGCAGGGGGTGGTGGTGTGCTTGTAGGGTTAGAGGTAAGGGAGCCTACGTGTGTGTGTGATCTCTGCTGTTGTTTTGTTCAGGACTTGGGGGTTTGCAGGAATTGCTGATTTGCTGAGCTCTCCAAGAAGGGCACCAACACAATCCTCGGTCAGTGAAACGTGTGGTGAAGAGGATAGCAACATGGCTCACTTGCCCAGTCCCATTTAGAAGGGGATGGCTGAGTTCTTGTTGGAGCTGAGTGAGCAGAGCTTGTACAGACAGGATGCAGCATTTCTTGCTGGATCAAGATTTGTGTCTCAGAAGCTTGCCTAGCTTCTTTCCTGTTCTTACCAGTCTTTCTAATAAAAGCTATTGTCTCTCCTTCCAAACTTTGCCTTGCTTATAGCCTTAGACCATCGTAGCTACAGTGCAGCCACTGCTACATGGATGGAGAAGGTAGCCTCTTTGTCTTACATCTTTTCTTTTATTCCAGGACATCTGCACAGGGGCAGAATTAAGGTAGTTTGGGTGCTTGGTTTGAGAACTGCAAACGTAACGCTGCATTTTCCAAATTTCTAACATTTGAACTTTTTTTAACCTTTAATTCTTTTGAGAATAAAATGCTCTTCTGTGAAGAATATGTGCTTGTAACCTTAACTTCACTTAACAGAGGTTTATACTGCATGATGGGAACATCTTACCTTTTCAGTAATGTACTAGAGAGGCAAGGAAGCCGTAGGGAAAATCACTGCCTCTCTCCTGCCCTGACCCTGGCTCACACAAGTTCCCAAGGGATGTTTGTTGCTTAGGTGTTGAGGGGGAGTTTGGGCAGCAACCTCCCACCTACAGACATCAGGAAGCACTCAAGAGCAGGGAGTTTACTTGGGCAAAGGCAGCTGAGTGAGTCTGATGGGGTTTTTTGGGGACACATTGTTAGCACAACCTGGTCTGAGCACCCGATCTCTGACTCTTCCCAGCAGGACCTTGTGTTTATTATCTTCTGCCATTTAGGATGCCTGAGGTTTTAGAGAGCTTGCGAGTCAGCAAGCTTTCAGCTGGGATACTGAAGCTCCAAGGAGCAGAGAAGGCAGTGATCTCTGCCAAAAGCATCAGTGAGGAACATTAGAGAAAACACCAGGTGGTGGGTTATAGAGAAATTGGATTATGTGCCCCTGGCCTTTAGTCCTGGCCACAGTGAATTCAATAACTGCTCAGCCACAGGTTTTTTGTTGTTCCTGGTTACTGTACATGCTTGCCAAATCCTGACAGTCAATCTGGGGTCTGGCCCTTAGAGTATATTTCAGCTATCGGTGAGCCATTGGAGACTGGGAAAAAAAATGAAAGGGCAAGAACTCTTCAGACCAGAGTCTTTCCTCTCGGGAAACTGACATACTTGTTTTTTGTGTTTTGATGGATTTGTACAGTATTGTTTTTGCCAGGCTGTGCTCTGCTTGCCCCCCGTAAGAGGCTCACCTGGGTGACTGGCTCTGTTTCTCCCTCATCACAGACTGCTCTATGGACCTGCAGTGCCTCCCAGCTCCTGTGGCCACCTCCATCCCTGTGGGCGAGGTGCTGGCCCCTTTGCCCTCTGACTCAGATGCAAAGGGCTTGCCTACCTCGCTCCCTGCTGCCAGCTTGCTCCCATCTCCAGACTGCGTGTCCCTTCCAGTGCCTGAGAGCGTGGAGGACTTCACAGATGGAGACTTCACAGAACTGGACTCCCTCCTGGACTCCCTCGCCGAAGGGTCACCATACCCTCTAGTAAGAGTGAGCGCTGCACCGGTCCCCTGCTTCTTGCTCCAAATAGGTCGTTGGAGCATGCAGATATGCATACTGCCTCTTTCTCTCTTTCTGTCACTCTTTTCTCCTAGCTATTCCTCTGGCAAAACTCATTCCTTCCTTCCTTTATTTCTGCAACCAGCTTGTGAGTATCTAAAGAGCCCACCTCCAAGCCGGCTTTGCTGTGTGCAACTTCATAGAGCTGGCCCTCAAAGTACCCAAGATAGCCTTCCCCTGCCATCACCTTCCCCCTGGCCTCTGGTGTCCATGGAGTTGAAGTAGGCCTGAGGGTAGAAATGAGCATGCTAAAGCAGGAAT